GGATGGTTGTAGATATGTTGTGTTGCCTCCAAGGCCTCTGTTCTGTTCCACTGGCCTATATCTCTGTTTTGGTACCAGTACCACACTCTGTTTTGATTACTGTAGCCTTGTAGTATAGTTTGAAGTCTGGTAGTGTGATGCTTCCTGCTTTGTTCTTTTTGCTTAGAATTGCCTTGGCTATGTAGGCTCTCTTTTGGCTCCATATGAAGTTTAAGGTGTTTTTTTCCAGCTCTGTGAAGAAGGTCATCGGTAGCTTGGCGGGAATAGCATTGAATTTGTAAATTACTTTGGGCAGTATGGCTTTTTTCACTATATTGATTCTTCCTAATCATGAACATGGATTGTTTCTCCCTCTGTTTGTGTCCTCTCTTATTTCATTGAGCAGTGGTTTGTAGTTCTTCCTGAAGAGGTCCTTTACATTGCTGGTTAGTTGTATTCCGAGGTATTTTATTATCTTTGTAGCAATTGTGAATTGTAGTTCGTTCTTGATTTGGCTCTCTTTAAGTCTGTTATTGGTGTATAGGAATGCTTGTGATTTTTTCACATTGATTTTGTATTCTGAGACTTTGCTGAAGTTGCTTATCAGTTTCAGGAGATTTTGGGATGAGACAATGAGGTCTCGTAGATATACAATCATGTTGTCTGCAAATACAGACAATTTGATTTCCTCCTTTCCTATTTGAATACCCTTTATTTCTTTTTCTTGCCTGATTGCTCTGGCTAGAACTTACAATACTATGTTGCATAGGAGTGGTGAGAGAGGGCATACTTGTCTAGTGCCAGATTTCAAAGGGAATGCTCCCTGTTCTTGCCCATTCAGTATGATATTGGCTGTTGGTTTGTCATAAATAGCTTTTATTATTTTGAGATGCGTTCTGTCAATACCTACTTTATTGAGGGTTTTTAGCATGAAGGGCTGCTGAATTTTGTCAAAGGCCCTCTCTGCATCAATTGAGAATATCATGTGGTTTTTGTCTTTGGTTCTGTTTATGTGGTGAATTATATTTATAGACTGGCATGTGTTGAACCACACTTGCATCCCTGGGATGCAGCCTACTTGATCATGGTGGATAAGCTTTTGGATGTGCTGTTGCAATCAGCTTGCCAGTGTTTTATTGAAGATTTTTGCATCTATGTTCATCATGGATATTGGCCTGAAGTTTTCTTTTCTTGTCGAGTCTCTGCTGGGTTTTGGTATGGATGATGTTGGTCTCATAAAATGATTTGGGAAGGATTCCCTCTTTTTGGTTTATTTGGAATAGTTTCAGAAGGAATGGTACCAGCTCCTCTTTGTATGTCTGGTGCAATTCAGCTTTGAACCCATCTGGATCTGGGCTTTTTTGGGGTGGTAGGCTCTTAATTGCTGCCTCAAATTCAGACCTTGTTATGGGTCTCTTCAGGGTTTCGACTTCTTCCTGGTTTAGGCTTGGGAGGAGGCAAGTGTCCAGGAATTTATCCATTTCTTCCAGGTTTACTAGTTTATGTGCATAGAGTTGTTTGTAAAAATCTCTGATTATGGTTTGAATTTCTCTGTAATCTGTGGCGGTATCCCCTTTATCTTTTTTTATTGCATCAATTTGGTTATTCTCTCTTTTCTTTTTTATTAATCTGGCTAGTGGTCTGTCTATTTGTTGATCTTTTCGAAAAACCAGCTCCTGGATTTATTGATTTTTTTGAAGGGTTTTTTGTGTCTCTATCTCCTTCAGTTCTGCTCTGAACTTAGATATTTCTTGTCTTCCACTAGGTTTTGCATTTTTTTGATTTTGGTCCTCTAGCTCTTTCAATTTTGATGATAGGGTGTCAATTTTTGATCTCTCCTTTTTTCTCATGTGGGCACTTATTGCTATACATTTTCCTCTAGAGACTGTTTTAAATGTGTCTCAGAGATTCGTGTATGTTGTGTCCTCATTCTCGTTGGTTTTGAAGAACATCTTTACTTCTGCCTTCATTTCATTGTTTAT